CGATTTTGTTGGTCATTTTGGCAAATCCGGAAAAAGTTGGTTAAAATCGTATATTATATGGGATTTTTGGTCACTAAGGTTATTTTCTCTAAAAAAAACCATCATGCTAAAATCCAACTTCCAAACAACATGCTTAACATAATTATATTTAAAATAACAACACACATAACAATCATGTTCACAACCGATTTCAAGCAATTAATCAATCAACATAAAATAGTTATAGCACCATATAGGGACATACCTCAACAAAATAACTCTAACAGTTATCACAACATTCCCACAATTATCTCGAATAGGGGTCTAACCGAACCAACTCCTATACTAATAATAATAATAATAATTCTGTAACACTAAAATAACATCAGAACCAAACGAAACTAAGATGTTATTTAACACTTAGGGGGTGTTTGGTTCAGGGTATCTCACATTACCAGGGGAATGGAATGTCATTCCCCCATTTGATTGGCAAACATTCCCAACCCCCGGTAATAAGTTATTTCCAACAGTAGTATTTTGAGAGTATATTACCGGGAATGTGATTACCCCCTTCCCTTAGGTATTGTTACATTCCTGGTGTTTTGGACTAAAATGCCCTAATATTTTTTTCAAAAATATCCTTATTCTATCGTTGAATAAAAAAAATTCTAAGAAGGTTAAATTACAAATTTATCCTTAAACTATTTTAGATTTACAAAAAAAAAGAGTCAGTAATTAGAATTTTATATGAAGTTCAGGGGGTTAAAATAAAATTTTACCCTTTCATTAAACTTATTTATCTTTTGAATTTTGTAAAAAAATATATAAATTTTATGAATTTATTTTTTTTAAAGAAAATATATAAATTAATTATAATAAAATTATAGTAGAATTTAACTTGTTAAAAAACAAATATATAAGAAGGAAAATTTGCTAAAATATACATTCCAATAATCTTTTATTCCTTTAACCAAACATTGTAGTCTTACATTCCTGCTAAACGAACCAAACACAAAATACAACATTAACAAATATATAAGAAGGACAATTTGATAAAATATACATTCCAATAATCTTTTATTCCTTTAAACAAATACTATAATCTTACATTCATGCTAAACGAACCAAACACAAAATACAATATTCCCAGTAATCTTATTCTCGCCGGTAATCTTATTCCCACCGATAATTTTACATTCCGTGAACCAAACGTACCCTTACGATCCTTTTTGGTAACCCAGTCGATTCAAAATTAATGGGTAACGGTAAATGCGGTTATTCCATTCCCGAGTTGGTATCTCCTGCAAAAATACAATGCGCGTATTAAATTCCAATTCACCAATTTCTAAAAATACGGAACGTTATTATGAAAAATATACCAAATATTCGATTCGAATCGAAAATTGGGTAACGGGGTTTTGGTTCGATTAAGGGCTGTCTGACACTAGAGGGGCGTCAAATGGCACCCAGGGGCGGCTGTGGGCACACCAGTGGCGGCAGAGGGCACCCAGGGGCGACGGTGGGCACACTAGAGGCGGTAGAAGGTACCCCACAGCTAATCAGGGTGCTACCCAACCCACACCAGGTCGGTTCGACCACTCCACGCTCAATCTCAATCAAAACCACGATTGAAAACAACAAAGAATGGTACAACATATAAAAGTCGAAACTTGATGGTATAATGCAGGGTCTTCCAAAAGTGAAACAAGTGTTAGAAGTGTGTTCGATTGATTTAATATCAATGAACCTAGAAAACATAGTTAAGAAATGGAAACAATATATAACAAGACTTCTTGGAATTTCTTACATGCGTTAAGCTAATTATAATGCGAAGTCCTCTCTCTTTGATTAATATAATCCAAAAAGAATTTATCAATCACAAGGTCCATATCCATAATAGATATATAAAAAATTATGTACGTCAAATTAGGGGTGTTCATTCGGTTAATTCAGTGGCCGAACCGACCGAACTATCATTTTCGAATTAACTGAACTTTTTTTTTCTTTAACCGTTAACCAAACCGAACTTTTTTTCGAAAATATTAATCGAACCGAATAAATTTCGGTTAATTCGGTTAATTTTCGAATTAACCGAAATTTTTTAGAATTTTAGAATTTAATATTTTTTTAATTAAAAAAACAATTTACAATTAATTTAAATAATATCTAATTATAAATAATATCTAATTAATTTGATTCAAACATTTTGCATTTAGTTTTGATATTATTTTAATTAATTAATATTGATTTGGGTTTTAAATCGATTGGGCCTCTTAATATAATTATATTTAAAGGTTAATTCGGTTAATTCGGTTAATTAACTGATTTCGAACCGAATTAACCGTTAACTGAATTCCAAAAAAATCCTTAACCGTTCCCCGACCGAATTAATTCGGTGGCCGACCGAATTAACCGAACTAATTCGGTTCGGTCGGTTAATTCGGTTAAAACCAAATTTTGAACACCCCTACTTCAAATTACATTAAAAGTATTGATTTCAAAAAATGCAATGCCTAAGATTTACTAAGTTGTCTTATTGAAAAGAATGAGAGTTTCTACGAACACTCAATTTTATATCTAAAATGTTTTTTTTTAAATTGTGATTCTCTCTCAATAACATTCTATTCTAAATAGTAAAAAGAGAATATATATATAATTGATTTCATATTAATTTATGAAAAAACCATAGAGATTGCAAGATATACATAGGGGTATTGGCTTATACCATCTACATAGGGGCATTGGCTTATACCATCAAATTATATATCTAACATTTTGATCAACAATATATAAGCCATTGAAATATGATGAACTAATGAAGTAGAAAAAGAGGGATACCTTAAAAAAAATAAAAAAACCCATATCATCCAGACAATTTGCTGATTGCAAAAGGACCCCTCATCCCTCATCCATCTTCAAGTTATATATAGTACCTGCTGTAAAAAAAAAAAAGACCCTATTAGCATCAAGTCAAAAATAGAATTTTTTAATTAAAAATGTCCCCAGAACATCAAGCAAGCATCCTAAATGTCCCCGGTTTATGTTAGGGGACGAATTTCTAAAATTTTAGAAGTGAAAAAATTTCTAAAATATATGATAATTTTAAATTTTTAAAGGGGATGACTACCTCACCCGCCCCCTTGATCCATCCCTAGTTACCTCAGCTTTCTAGTAATTGATCATGTTGTCACTATACCGAGGGATAGATCGAAGGAGGGCGTGTGGGGTAGTCGCTTTCCAGAAAATTTTAAATTCTCAAATACTTTTTATATATTCTTTGTATTTTCTATTGATAATCTGTTTTTATTCTGAAATTTTATAAATTCACTCATTGTAACATTTATAAGTTCATTTCCCTAACATAAAATTTTAGGTCGGTCCCTAACTATAACATATAAACTGTAGTTTCGGCCTGGAAATCCCTTACTTCCCTCAAGTAAATTCTCACAGCTCTAGCCCCGAAAGGGTTCGCTACCGGCCTACCTCTGTGCTTCTCATAGGCAGCACTGAGTCGGGCGATGAGCGCAACAAGGCTTGAACTGGATCACACAAACAAAAGCGCAAACAAGCCAGAGAGCAAGCAGAGTTTGCAAGAAAGATTCTTGACAGACTAGTTTATATGAACTATGAAGTCTTTTTTACCATAAGCATTGCTATTGTCAATTCCCACAATTTCATTAGGGTTTTATTGCTCCATTTTCAGGCTACACATTCATGCATTTATACATAAAAGAAGACAATAGAAAGAACCTGTAAGTTGCAACTTCTTTGCCGAGGATCAAATTTATTTATATGACGCTTCATATTGAGGGTAGATTTGCAGGCCATACAATTGCAAGAAGGTATAATCAAATGTAAATATAACGGAGCCATGATTTTATATTAGGGGTAAAATAGATGATCAATAGAAAATATAAATAAGATATCTAAAACATATGCTAATTTAAAATTTTCAGGGACATCCATCCTTGAATATGAAGAACATATTAATTACTCATCACTGATGCATTGGAAATACGAGCGAGCCCTTAGACGTGAAGCTTTAAACGTGCTTCTTAGCTAGCTCGCCGACTCTGTCTGTTTATTCCTTAGACAAGCATCTACCACCAGAGCTGCAGCACATAAAATGTAATAACATTGTCCTAGAGGCTAAAAAGAATTGCATCAGAAAGATTCTTACTTGGCCTGTGAGTTTTCCAATCAAATGAGCCGTGTAGAGTGATACAGAAGGTAGCCTCTCAGATCAATAACAGCGACTTCAATCGCATCGATGTTCTTTGCCGGCCTTGTATGTAAACCTCCATGGTGCCTGACGAGACAAATAGACCAGCTTCTTTTCTTTCCTGGTGGTTTTTGCAACTCTGATTCTAACCGGGCCGGAACACGGTTGGATCAACTCCCATGACATCATCAACTAGTCTCAAGAAAACAAAAGATATCCATGCACGTGCACTCCCTTTGCTATATCTTTTATAAGCCTTGGAAAGCTCACCTTTTATAGAAAAAAGAAAATTCAATGAATCAGACAATATAATTAATTTCCATAGCTCCAAAAGGAAGTTGAAGATTACAAATGAAATATGATGACTGGCAAAGTGCTGACCAGCAAGTACAGCAATCCGAAACCGAACGCACCCAATAACTTTGGAGATTCTATTTTGTCTTATAACTTTTACAATTCTCTGTGCATCCATGTAATGTTAGTTTGTTATTACTGGTGAAGATTGTTATTCAATTGTAAATGGCTGTAGACTGTAGCTTGAGATATGTTCTTTTTCTCTTTAGATTGATTCACTGTTAAAATATACGTGAAACATAAAATGAATTGACATATTTTCATATTATTTTTATACCATATTATATTTACATAACCTAATTTATTTCATATTTTTCTAAAGTTTATTAATTTTATCTCTAAATTCACAATTTACTTGAAAATTAGATAAATTTATTATATAATAATATGAATATTATCTTTAATTTTTTTTCTAATTACCAAAAGGAAAGTGAAGAATATAATCTATTAAATTTTCAAAGATATTATTTAAATTTTTTTACTCGACCAATATGATTACAAAAGAAATTATAGGTCTGATTGAGAGCCTCGTTAAAAACCTCTCTAGACCTATGTGGAGGAAAAGAAAACTACTCAATCAGGGAAGAAAACAGACTACTACTGCAATACTAATCATAGAGAGTGCATATTCATATTTAGACAGCTCAAGAGCACGATCCTTCTCAGCTGCCTCCTCAGACGGCTCAAGAGCACGATCCTTCTTAACTGCCTCCTCAGATCACTCAAGAGCACGATCCTTCTCAGCTGCCTCCTAAGACCGCTCAAGAGCACGATCCTTCTCAGCTGCCTCCTAAGACCGCTCAAGAGCACGATCCTTCTCAGCTGCCTCCTCAGACCGCCTCAAGAGCACGATTCTTCTCAGCTGCCTCCTCAGACCGCCTCAAGAGCACGATCCTTCTCAGCTGCCTCCTCAGACTGCCTCAAGAGCACGATCCTTCTCAGTTGCCTCCTCCTTAGACGGCTCAACAGCACGATCCATCTCAGTTGCCTCCTCAGACGGCTCAAGAGCACGATCTTTCTCAACTGCATCCTCAGACTGTTCAAGAGCGCGATTCTTCTCAACTGCCTCTTGTCTTTGTGCTTGTACTCTGTATACATCCATGAGCTACTTCTTGTTTATGAACTTCCTCTTCTCGGGTACACTCGGTCTACATTTATCACAAAAACCAAATAAAAACACACCATTACTCAACTTTCAGCAAGAATGCCGCAGACAATTTAAGCACCAAACGGTTCCAAATCCTCTAATTAGAATGCTCTTGGTTCTTACTTTAGCCATTTTATATTATGCTCTTCAAGAAAAATCCATATTTAGACATACAAGTACACAGATATTAAGATTTCAATACCCACAACTGATTTGGTTAATTAAGAAGAAACCCAAATAAGCCATTCAATATTAAACACCTCTAAAATTCTATCAAGACTAATTAAAAAACACATGTTGATAAACGAAAAGAATTAAAAGAAAGAAAGAAATGTACCTTCTTGATGGAAGGGTCAAGCCATTCGTAGCAACGAGCCTTACATTGCTTAGAAGATTTACGAACAAGTAAAGAAGAAATCCGTGCCCATTGATTCTTCCCATATTTCATAACCGCCGCTTTCAATATCTCATCCTCCGTGTTCTTCCGTACTCCTCCTTTTATCATTATCCTCATCTTCGCTCACTTGTTTTTTTCACTTGCTTCGCCTTGAACTATTTCGATTGAAAGAAACAAATTACGAACCCTAGCTTCTTGGATTGAAAATCTCTGACTCTTAGAACCCTATATATCCTTTTCAGAAATCGAGGGGATATCAATCTTATATATTATTATTGTTTGACCCCTCAAATTTTGTGTAATTAGAGTAGGACCCTTATTAATAGATGTTGGTTTTCTATGGGCTGTCAACTACTGAATTGAGAAATTTGGATAAACTAGCTTAGACTAATTCGGCCTGGTCCATTCCATTTAATTAATTTTAGGGTAAACTAAATAAATTGTCACTAAAGTTTGAGCAAACTTTTGTTTTCCCTACTGAAGTTTCAAAAGTAACAAATTGATCATTAATGTTATCTATTTCTAACAAATTATTCATTAACCTAATCAGTTTATAAACAAATCGGTCACTCGCCATTAACAATCGTTAATGTTAGTGATGAAATACTGGGGCACGTTACAACCATGTTGACCACTCTTTGCTTTAAAAAAATTGTTTTTTATAATAGTAACCGTATTTCTTTTTTCCACCTTTACTTCTTATCCTTCATTCTCTTCCCACAGCCATAGAAGCATCCTTCATCCTAATATTTTTGTTTTGTTCTATTTTGTTGTTGTTGCTGGATTTACAAAGTTTCTTTTCTTTTACTATGATTCTTTTACGACACCATTTTCTTCGACTAGGTTCCCTTCTCTCATTTACATCATTCTCGGTCCAGACCATCTAGGAAGAGCTATAAATTCATGTTTCTAAACAAATCTAATAATAATACAACAAAAATTAATCTTCAAAAGGTGATTTCTTTTAGTTTCGAACTTTAAACCAAAAATGTAGGAGACTTCAAGTCGTTAACTGATATTGCATATAACTTTGTAATGCTCTCTCTGAAGCTGATCATTTCAAGCAAATATAACAAGAACATGCCACTTTACCATCAAGGTTTAAAATAGTTTAAAGAGGGGAAAGACTCTGAATCTTTTTAACACGGATTGAAACCTTAGGTGAATCAAGATGATTAAGGCAGCTATTCAATTTTAGCAAAATGATCAAATACCATAAACCTCAAAACCCCCATCAAATAAACTAAAATATTCCACTGAAACCCCTTAAACTATTGAGGATTTAATAAAAAAAACATTTTTTTCCTGATTTTAAGGAAAGAAACATTATAAATCCAACAACCAAAAAATAGAACAAAACAAAAATATTAAGATCAAAGAGCTTCCATAGCTATGGGAAGAGGATGAAGGGATAAGAAGCAAAGGTGAGAAAATGGGGGTTGTCATTATAGAAAACAATACTTAGAGTTAAAAGAGTGGTCAACGTGGCTGTAACATGCCACATCAGCATTTCGTCAACCACATTAACAATTATTAATGGCGAGTGATTGATTTGTTATAAATCGATAACGTTAATGACCAATTTATTACTTTTGAAACTTTAGTATGGAAAATGAAAACTTACTCAAACTTTAGTGACTATTCATATAGTTTACCCTTAATTTTGGTGGAATTTGAATTCATGTTTAAACTATAAATTATTTATGAAATTATTATTATGTCATGAATTGCATTGATGATAGAAAAATTCTATAAATGAGGTTTTGGTGTTGTTAGTTATTTTATCTAAAGTTTAAGAATTAGAATTTTAAGATTTAGGGTTAAATTTTGCTAAAATTTTTATCCCTACTTACAATCGGATTGAGTCGAAACCCGACATATTCGGATTAAATTTTTATCCCTACTTATAATAGTTTCATTAAGTTTTTTATGACATGACATCAAAGCAAAACAAAGAAAAAAAACGTTAGGTATGATTTTGAAAAAAAGATAAAAGTATAGATATCAAAATAAGATAAAAGTAATAGTTTAAGTATTAAACATATAGTTTATCCTATTTAATATTTGTTTTCAGGTAGTTCATGCGGCTCGTCTGGTGGTTGCTTAGAACTCTTGGAATGCTCGGTCGCCATAACAATGTAAAGCTAACAGCTTATCAGCTGGAAAAAGACAACGAGGTGGACAAATCAAATTTTAATATTTTACCATACAACTGGGTTTTACTCGGCCCTTTTACTTAAATATATAAAACTTAGGGTAAAATATGTATTTAATATTTAAATTATTAATTTTGATTCATTTTAATATCTAAATTTTAATTTTTAAAATCATACATAACTATCAATTTTTATTTTATTTTGATCCTAAAAATTTTAACTTTGAATTTTCTAACCAACAAACGGGTTAACTGCCTGCCTTCTAAATCCTCCCTTTTTTCCCCTCCCAACCCACCGAATATTCCTCTCACAATTCCTCTCTTTTCTCTCTATATAATCCCCCCATTACTACCAAAGTTTCGACCAAACCAAACAGAAAACCCATACACAAAAAAAAACTCTCATCCAAACAAACAAACCAAAAACACCTGCAAATGTTGAGTCAAGCACTAGAGAACAAGTACCAGCCCTGCGAAGAGATCGGAAGGGGCCGTTTCGGCGTCATCTCTCGAGTGTTCTCCGCCGTAACCGAATCCCACTTCGCCTGCAAAACCATCGAAAAACGCCTCCTCTCCGACCAGACCGATCGGGAATGCCTGGAGAACGAGCCGAAGATCATGTCCCTTTTGTCCCCCCACCCCAACATCGTCCAAATCCACGACATGTTCGAATCCGAACATACCCTTCAACTCATCCTCGACCTCTGTCAGCCGGTCACCCTCTACGACCAGATCCTGCAACACGATTTGTCCGAACCCAAGGCCGCCTCTTACATGCAACAGCTCATGTCGGGTCTGGCTCATTGTCACAGGTTCGGGATCGTTCATAGAGACATCAAGCCCGATAACATCTTCTTCGACTTCAGGGGGAATTTGAAGATCGGCGATTTCGGTTCCGCCGCCTGGTTGGCGGGGGACCTCGGCACCGCCGATAGGTTGGTTGGAACGCCGTATTACGTCGCGCCGGAGGTCGTTATGGGTCGACCTTACAACGAGAAGGTTGACGTCTGGAGTGCTGGCGTCGTTTTGTACGTCATTCTGGCCGGCGTTCCGCCGTTTTTTGGCGAAAATGCACAGGATATTTTCGAGGCTGTTTTGAGAGGGAATTTGAGGTTTCCTTCTAGGATTTTTAGATCAGTCTCTGCTGAGGCTAAGGATCTGTTGAGGAAGATGATATGCAGAGATGTTTCCAGGAGATTTTCTGCAGAACAAGTCCTGAGTAAGTTAAACTATATATAATAATTTTTCTGGGAAAATTTATGGGAAAAACCAAAACTTCAATCAAATTACTAAATGAATGTTTATTGTTTATGAAATGCAGGGCACCCATAGATCTTAAATGGAGGGGAAACAATTTCAATGGATTGAAAAGATCTGGAAATCATCATCACCAGTCAAAATCATACATAAATAAAAGCTTATCAAGAAAAAGAAAAAGAAAAAAATAGCTTATCAATGTAAATATAAGGCTCTGTTTGCCTGATAAGAAAATGGTCTCCAAGCTTCATCTTCCACTTTTCCAATGAAATGCAAGTTTATTACACAGAGAGCAGAGTTTCTTCCTCACATGGAGGGGGTCCATCAACCACCATGAACCCTATCAACATCTGATCATGGTCTTATCTTCTTCTGTTTTTGCTGTTTGGTTAATGTTTTGAGAACTAAGTAACAGAGCAGAGTGTACATAGATAAAAGTATTAGGTTTTTGAGAACTCAACCTCCTCCTTTACTACTGTTTTTTTATTAATCAAAGTATGAAGGAAGGGAGAAGAATGAAAAGCAAACCTTTGTTTTTTCATTTATGGGAATCTCTTGTAACCCTTTTTTTTTCTGGGAATCTTAAATCACATATATATATATATATATATATTCAAGTTTTGGTATCTATTTTGCATATTTTTTTTATGGGAATCTTAAGTTGTTCATCATCTGTGTATGTACTAACAGCATGTACTTGGGCATATGCTACATGCTGAAAGAACATATTGGAAGTGCTAGCTGACTTATTCTTTCCATATTGATATTTGACTAATTGTATATGTGAAATGGTCGTGGGATCGAGTCTCATTGAAGTCAATTCATAAATGGAAGTTTTCCACGGAAGCTGCTCTCAACCTGGCGTTGAGGATAACCTACTACCATACCTTCCCCTTATCCCATTACATATGGGAATAGGGTAAGCGGTTTTTGTATATGTGAAATGAAAGATCCAAATTGCAAATCATATGTAGATGCTTGGTACCAAAGTTTACAGAATCAAAAGTTTTGGGGAGCAAGCTTTGCATGTTAGCATATGCTTGGTTTATTCCATTTCTCTCTTTTTTTGTCATAATGACAAAAATCCTCTAATATTTGATTAAATTGTCACTTTGACTCTTAATCTTTTTTCTAGAGTATTGAAAAAGAAAATCCTTATATTTATGAAAATTATTAGTCAACAAACGGTTAATATTACAAAAATGAAGCGGTATATGGTAAAAAATACTCCAAAAGAAAAGAATAAAGAGTAAAGTGATTATTTAGATAAATTTTAGGGGCATTTTTATCTTAAAATAAAATATTAAGGGTAAAAAAATATATAAAAAAAGGTAGATTAGCATTGAAGCGTAAAAGGAAAATGCTTCTAAAGTATGGCACTCATCATTATGTCCGGTTTGAATACGAAAAATTAACTCTATTTTGTTTTTTTATGTGGCAAACTAGGCCACGGTGAAAGCTTCTGCCCTATTAGGGCCTCTCATGAAAGCGAAGTTCTACCCCTGGGGTGGGATCTGTCGCTACGTGCTCCTCCGCATAGGGGAATTACTCCGTCCAGCATTTGGCTTCTAGAAGCTGGTCAGAAAGATCATAACTTCCCTATTTTGTCTGAAAGTGAAAAATCAGGGGGGACGTCAGTCAAGGAAAATTCTTCCCCCAATTTTGGGGATTCTGGGAAGCCTAAGTCAGCGGTACAAATTGATTTAGGCAAGCAAAATAAGGAAACCAGTATTGAAGGTGGGAATAGACGGTTTTTTGTGAGGTCCACCAATAATGAGCTGAATTCTTTACCAACCCCAAAAGTGACAAGATTTGATTTCGATACTCCGATGTGCCAGAAGGATGAGAGTAGC